CCCCGCCCCTTCGCTCCTGGGGGGGCGGCTCCCCAAAACCCGCGCGTAACGTCCAGAGCCGCCGACACGCGTTGCAGCCCCGCGCTCGCCCGCGCCTCACCTTCACCTCGCTTCTGCCTCAGCCGCTCGCAAGGAGCGACCAGCCCCGGGAAACGTCAGAGAGGCGACGGGAGGTGACGTCACGCCGGCCGCGACGGCCGCGCCCCGCTCCCTCCTGGGAATTGAAGTCTGGCGGCGGTTTAGAAAATTTCCTTTTTTTTTTAATTTGGGGATGAAGGACAGCAAGAGGGGCCGAGGCCAGAGGCTGCTTGGAGGGTCCCGCCGTTCCCTCCCCTGGATTGCACCGCGGTGTCTCTCAGCGGATGGGAATCTACTCTGCACATGCTCTTGAGCATGGAGAGTTCACTTCATTCTTCATCACTGACATCCCCCCACCCCTTAGGGCTCCAATTCTCCTTTCAGTTCGCTGGGGATAATGGGTCCAACACTTGTGGAAGCTGTCTTCCTCTTCCTCTTGACTAAACTGAACCTTTGGTCTCCTGTCAAAGGACGGCTATTATTGCATTGCGTTAAAAAAAAAAAAAACTAGGTATTTGCTTCTCTTTTTAAAAAAAACCCTAGATATTTGCTTCTCCGCACGCAATATTTCAAGACATTTCCAGCAGCCCTCCTGCAAAGCCCAAGCTAGTACCGTCCTGGGTCTACTCAGAAAATTGTACTGAGTTCAGCAAGGCTTACTCCTGGGTAAAACGGCAGCTTTAACGGGGCTGGTAAAGAGCAGTGCAGAGAAACCCCCTCCGCTAACCCCACATCCTTCCCCCACGCTCAGAACACGACATAACGCTCCTCTCCCCGCCAAAACTATTTTTAAAAGTTATTTTCACAATGCAATTTCACGAAACGCCAGGAGGGTTTCATTTAGAGGCACGCATTACGGCTGCACCTCTCGTCCAGCTTTTGGCTTTCGGCAAGAGCCCAAAAGATATCGCGGGGCCAGGATGGCCTTTGAGGGAACAATTTCAGAAATATTCGTTACTGATGTCGCGGAAGGAGCTTCTACCGACACAGAGGCTGAGAAAAATCAAGGCAGGCGTTTGGCTGTTTAAAATAAAAATCTGTTTAATGTCAAACTGTAGTGTAAAAATCTCCTAGCAAAATCTGTACAACTTATGCAGAGAAAGTGGGTGAGTGAACAATGGTGCTGACTTTTAAATAAATACACACACGTAGAAAGCTCTCTGCTCTGGCATCGGGAACCAAGACGCTTTGGATAGGATACCAAAGAAAAGCATCCTGAGCCCATTTTGCATTCCAGATACATTTCTAATGCATTTGCCACACTCTTCTCCTCTTGCCCAGTTTCCAGAAAAAGAGAAATGTAAAGCCAGGGGGGAAAAGGAATGTGATGAGTTGTCTTCATTATCCTTCTGTTTCCCAAACCTTTCGTAGCAACCATCCAAAAGGCACAGTGATCGTTTTAAGAGGCTCCGTCCCATCAGCAGAGAGCAGGAAACATTCCAGCGCGTCACCTTGGACCCCGAAACGTCTTGGGCGTCTCCGCTGGAAGGAAAAGTGTGGAAGCTGAGCAATTCTTACCATGAGGCAAGGGGGAAGGTGGGCGCCCTTCCCGGGTGGAAAGCGGTGGGTCAGGTTGCTCTAACTGGCTGGGGCATCGCTGGAGGTTGGGGCGGAGAGAACCCAGCAGAACCAGAGCCCCTCTTAGCGATGGTATTTAATCTGGGCAATGTCTCTTGCAACCAGTCGGTATCCGATCCAGTTGTCTGTTCCGGAAGTCCAGCACTCCTCTCCTGGGCGGAGCTGTCTGCCAAGAGGTCGAAAGGGCTGGCAGAAGAAGAAGTCCCCCCAAGTTCTTCTCCCCCGTCGCGGAAGAGGCAGCACTAGGGGTCGAGGAAGGACACGGCGATGTAGCGAGTCCCTTTGGTGGTGGGGAGGCCCTCGTGGTAATGTGTCAGGCGGCCTGGGTGCAGGAGGGTCCACCCTTTCCGGGGGGCTCGGATGGAGCAGTTGTAACGTAGGAAGCGGCAGCCCCCGCCCTGCAGGGGAAGAAAAGCTGAAGCCCGTCTCCCCAGCAACAAAGTCCCTTTTGCTATTTTGAGTAAAACGAATCACGGCCGAGGCGGCAGTGACCTCAACTGTCCGCCCGCTGTCTGCGGGGAGGGCGAGGGGGATCGAGTTGCCGAACTGGAAAAGGCATTTGGAAGTCATCTCAGTCGGCACTCTGCTCCGTGCTGGAATTCTGCAGCGGCACCGTCTGTGATCAACGCCTGAATACTCCTCCAGCAAAAGAAAGCCCACCGTCCTCCAGAGCAAACCGCCCCACTATCAAATATGTTTTAGGTGCTGGAAATGCCTTCCAACATTTAGCCCAAATCGGCTTCCTTGCAAATATTCCTCCCCGCCTCCCCACCCCACCCCACCCCAGTTCTGGCCTTGCCCCCTGAGCACAATTGTAGAGATCTAAAAACTGCCCTTTCACCCTCCTCCATCCTCCCATCTCCCTGCTAAACCGACTCAGCAATTCCTCTAGGCTGGCCCCAAGATCTTCCACCGGCACTTACCTCATAATCGATCCCGACGCGATTCAAGGCAATGTTGATCGTGAACGTGGAAGCATCGTGATGCGGCATCAGGGAAGGCTGCTCGTCCGGTTTGTACCGGACCACAAAGGCGAGCTCGAACTGGGTCTGCGGAAAAAGGGGCAAAAGGAACTTGTGTGGGGCAAAGGCTTTGGAGCACGAGGCAGGGCCAGCTGAAGGAGAGAGTCAGTGGAGCACGGAAGAGAATTACGCTGCGTTTTTCGCAACACCTCCAGATGGGAAAAGATGGGGCGTCTTCTGGCCACTCCGAAATGTGATTCAGTGGTCAGTCTTGACCTCTCCCTCTGCCACATGCCTTCTGTTTTTATTCAATTTAATCTTCACTTGGCACTTTTCATGGAAAATCCCCCCTTAAAAGCTTAGGAAACTGGATTGGGTTGGGGAAGATGGGGTTGGACCATCAATCCTATGCACAGCTAGCGTCTGAGGACAAATCCATCAGAATTCGTTTTTCCCAAAAATGAGTCCAGAGGGAAAAAGGTGCACCTGAATAAAACCATTTAGGGGAGAGCTCAGCGCAAAGGAAATACTTGGCCTGCTAAAGACTGTGCCTGAGTCCTTAGAAAGCCATCAGGAGTGACGAGAGAACGAGAGAGACGACTGGTCTAACTCAGGAGACGCAGCTACCTACATTCCAGAAACTCGAGTCAGTGAGCCACGTGGCTCCAAAAGGGTCTGTAAATATATCTGGGAGCGCTCATCCACTGCTGATTGTCCCTACCTGTTCAGTTACAACAATTTATCAAAGTGTGATTCCTGCTTTTGGCGTACACGGGCCACCATATTTTCTTCTTTCTCTTGGTCTCCCCGAAACTGCACTTCAAAGCCCTTCGCTTCAGGAACCCAGGGCCGCCATTTCAAACTTTACCACAAGTCTCCAATCCCAGCGAGTACAAATTGAACTCACCTGTGTATAGTAGCCGGGGTAGAGCTTCTCCGTGATGGGTGCAATGTAATGCAGGAGAAACCTGTACCATTCGTGCTCAAAGTTGATCTGGTTCATGTGGATATCGATCGTTGGGACGTTCTCATAGCCCCCCAAGATCCTGTGGTCCTGTAAAAACATTGTGTTATAACAAGTTAGCTGACAGCTGTTCCCAAAACTAAGACACAGAAACTGGGGGAAGGTTACGTTCGCCTTCAAATCAGCCGCTGGCCTGGGGCAGGGCAAACTTTTATCAGCAGGCAACTTGGCTAAGAAAGCAACCTCCATGGAAAAGAAGGATCCTGGCCCCTCCTCAGGTCTTTGATAAACCATATTTATAAGGCTCCTTACCGTGTTGTCTCCCTTGGACCATCCGCCAAAATGTTCCATCTCTTCAACCAACTCGTCGCAAGCCGTGTCGGTAAATATGGGGAACCAGTAGACATCTGGACAGGGCTGGCCAATGGAAGGTTAAGGGATAGGTAATAAATTCCAAAGTGTTTTCATTCCAGGAAAATACCTTCTCCAAGGAACAGTTCCTGCACTGGCAGCTTTGAAATGATTTAATGCGATTTCGTAGCAAAGATCATGTTGTGGATGTCACAACCCCGCCAATCAGTGCTGGGTGGAACCAACAGCAGGACGATGGCCAAGGGGAAATATATAAAAGCTCCTGCAAGTTTGAAAATTCAGGAGCAACCATGGAAAAGACCCTGCCGTTTCTTCATTCATAAGCTGACCGAGACAACTTGGTTCTATCGGAAATTTAGGAGATTGTTTGATGCTGTGCAGTGTTCACTTTATTTTGTGTTTCATGTTATTAGTTTAATGCTATATTTTAATAGCTGTTTTTATGATCCTGGAATCAAATGTCTGTTTTGCACCACTCTGGAACAGTCTGTTAAACGATGTGTTTTAAATGAACAATAAACATTAAAAAATCTGATTTAAAAATAAGCAGAAGCAACTGGGGAAAGGAAAACGGTTTTGGTTTTGCTGCTTCCAAGAGAAAAGAGCCGATCTTTCAGAAAGGTGCCCTTTCCTACACAGAGGACCGAGACCTCTTCCCTCCTCCTTTCTGCCGGCCTCCCGCACCCCAATTCAACCATAACAAAGACTTAAGCTATTTACCGTTTCTACCAATTTGCCTTTTAAGGCGGCCGTGTAGTTTGGGTGAATGTATTTCTCCTTCCAATCCTGATTAGTGAGAGGGAAAAAAAGGAAGAAAATAGGTAGGATGCTCAATTTATTGTTTCTCCCCTAAAAAACTCTTACAAGGGACTATCACTTCTTTTGCAAACACATGCATGCACCCTCATTTTGGAACTTGGGGGGCTGGGTTCAAAATTGGAAGTCATAAATGCACGATGCGTCCTCGAGAAAGCCACCGGTTCTCGTGTTTCCCAGCTGTTATTTGCTCCAATTCATTCCAACTCCTCCCTGCCCAAATCTGCTTTTAGGGACCGCATCGCCCAACCTCTGTAACTCCCAGTCTCTTAGTCCTCTGCTCCATCTTTCTATGTGAACCCTTGTTCTCAGAATTCCCTCCCCCTAAGAAGCACAACCCTTTCCTTAATCCTTTCAAACTGGCCCCTACCTCACCCCACACCTGTCTCACTCTCAAATTTCAGAGAAAGTCTTCTCACCTCTGGGTTGCTGAAGATTTGCCAGAGATCGTTGTGCAGGTGGCTGGTCTGATAATTCTCCAGGGATAGGATATGCCCAAACTGCTGCTGGTTTGTCAAGAACATGAACACCCCCTGCAGGAAAAGCAGACCCCCTCTGTTTTATGGAGATCTGCGATGATCTACCCCATAACTAGTCCGACAACTGAAGGATGAGAAGCTCTGCCCCCCAAGTACTATGGGACTACAACTCCCAACAACCCTGATGCTTTATTTTCTTTCCAGTCTTCTTACTCTACCTTCGTCTTCTTCCCCACCTTTCCTGAAGGCGCAGCCTTTTGCTTCCCGCACCAACCTGCTCACGGATGTTGCGGCACAGAGCCATATCTGCATCCAGTTTGCCACTGTGGAAAAGGTCGAGGTGAGCGAGTTGCGACCTCAGGACGCTGCCCTTGATCAGATAGACGCTAGAAATGTATGGGACATTCCAGAGGCCACTGAGGGAGAGAAAGAGAGCCGATCAGGCATGGAAAGAACTGGGCCAGATAATAAGCTATTAAACAAACTGAAGAAGAAACTATTTCTGTGCAGTGCTTACTGTCAGAGGCTTATTTTCAACAGGGAATCAGGAAAACCCTGCAAAAAATGGATCTGGATGCACAGGGCTTACGATCAGACGCTTCAGCGTGTGATGGTTTAAGAGCCAAAGCGTATTGGAACTGAACCATCAGAAAGCCCCAACAATATTGTTCGGTACCTTTTGAACTGTGTGGCCCTTTTCAGCCACGAGACTCAAAGCCCAGAGAAACTTCCAGAGAAAAATGGCTTCAAAGGAGAGTTTTGGAAGCACCTCTCCTGAGTCTGTCGCGCTACTCACATCCTCCGCCTCTGGACAATATCCACATAATCCTCTGAGCGGGCGTAATAACCCTCAGCGCTCAAGGCCCCCCAGAAATTCGACCAGAGTTTCCCCATGCGGCTCACGAGAGGGGCGATCACAAACCTGGCAGAGAGAGAGACAGAGAAGAAGGCATAAAAGAACTCCAAGAATAATAAGAATGTGGGCACTCTTTTGGTTATATAGTAGTAGGAACGAGTGGGGGCACTGTCCACTCTACCCTTAAAAAAACCCAGACGGCCAAGGGAATTCACACTCTCTCTATAAATGATGCAGAACACATCTTTGTACTGCTTGCTGTAGTTTTGCTACCTATGAAAGGAGAAAAGAACTAGGCAGGGTAATGAATTCCTCCTCCTTGGGGATTCAGCCCTAAAATCCCATAACGAATAAAGCTCCACAGCAGATGCAGAATCTGTTCTAATCTAGCGGATCCCTCTATGATCTGGAGAAAGGAAATGCTGCCTGCGTCTTCCCTCAGGCCTGTCAGCCACAGGAGCGCAGCCCCCGACTCACTTATTCCGTTCCATCAGGATCTGCAAGGTGTCTGGATTCTTGAGCACCACTTCGGCGTCCAGACTGAAGTAATATTCACAAGCAGGGTTCTGCCTACACAGATTCCTAGAAGGGGAGGAAGCAAAGAGTGAGGCTCAAGTGAAAAAGCACCAATCTTGGGGTGAGCAGCCTCTCAGCATCTCTTACACGCTCATGTTGTGAGCATCGGCATTCTTGAGATGATCCTCCGGCCCGATCACTTTGAGGGAGCGGTATTCTGGCCTGTGCTTGTTCACGAAGGAGCCCACCTGGGACAGGTGATGTTTTTCCTGCACATGACATGGAGCAAAACCTGTTACAGAAGGGCCAACCATTCTGGCAAGCAGCCACGTTCACCGGCTGTCCTTGCGGGTTATGAATTGAGAGGCCAAGCAGTTGCAGTGGGTGGAGGGGGCAGCCCGCTCAGCCAGACGGCCCCAACTCACACGATTGTGGATGAATAGGTGGATTTTCTTTTTTGGATAGCGGAGAAGCTGGAGCCTTCGGAAGAACTGGTCAAGGAAGGGGGTGGGTTGTTCAATAAAGACGCCAATCACGGTCAGAGGAAGTGAGTCTTCCTGCAGAGAGGACGGGAAAAAGAATATCGGACCCAAAGCTGAGGACAGTCACCCTGTGTCTGAAAAAGGGTAATCAATTTGTAAGTAGGGCTACATTTCTTATCTTCTAGCCCAGAACCCTGGATTGCTGCAACTGTCAACCCTGCCAGAGATTCCCTCTTCCTTGCAGCACCAGGCAATGCAAAAACCCAAAACCAGGTTCTCTTGTTAAAACACCACGGAAATCAAGCCTTGGCAATCTGGCAAACGTAAAACTGGTTTAAATGCGTCTGCTTTTAATCTCTCACACCACTTGGGAAACGTTGGGATTTCAGGTCTACAGGTAATTCGGAATCTCTAATAGAAATTTCATATCTTCAGCAAATGCGCGTTGCCAAGCCAAGCAATGAAACAATGCAAAGCGTAACTTTTTTAACCTTCCCCAGTCCTGCCAGCATCGCACGAGCTCTTACTTTCAAGCCAGTGAGATTCTTCAGGCTTTCGTTGCAAACGGTGCAGCCCGTCTCAAAGGTCCAGGACCGAGGGATATAGTTCCCCAGGTAATTCAGCTGCAGCTTTGGGGAGAAAAAGATTCCCAAAGGCTGTGTTCACACTGCTGAAACAGAAAACTCCCTTCCTTTGTCAGTCGGATTCCACCACAACTCTCTTTTCCATCACCAGCCGCCCAAGGCCCTACTGCTGAAACTGGGCTGAGCCACCCTGCTTTTTGGGGCTAAGCAGGGGCTTTGCCACTGAGGCCTACTCTGCCTCCTGAAGCAATTTCCAATCTTGGCAAACGGCTGCCAGGAATCAAAGCCCAAACAAGCTTTGTTCCAGAGCAAGAAGGGCAGAAGGACACACATTTTGGATGGCCATCCTGCTTCCAGGGATCTGGGATTCGGCATACCTTGGTGGGTCCGTTTCCGTGAATCACAACCGGGAGGGTATCAAATGCCAGATTCCGCACTCTCACCTGGCCGTTTTCAAATTTCAGAGCCACTTCGTCTTCAAGAGCAAAGAAGCAGGGAAACAGAATAAAACAAAAAGGTTCTTTTTGTGTGTATGCCGGGGGAGATAATGGTTTTGGGCATTAATAAAGTGTGACCCAGCTCTTCAAAGCAGCTTTGTCCTTGGAAAACATCCAGTCAAAGCCAAGAGACGCAATCTTTCCCACCTGATGCAACAGAAATACATTTTAGGAGCAATCGACCCAGTTTGCAAAACAAAAAAAATCTCTAAGAAGCTTAATTAAACCTTTGACGGTTTCACCTCATAGGCAAGAAGTAGCAGGTGATAATATAAACCATGCAGCAGCAGGAAGTCGGGGGGGCGCGAATGGGGTAAAGAATCATCCCAAATCCTCTATCAACTATGGAGCAAGCATGTTGTGGCTGCTAACTCCTCTGCAATCTGCTACTTGAGCTCCTTTTTAAATGGAGTTGCTCCTCCGCAGTTTGGCTCCAACTGGAGTTGCTTGGCAAACCGAATAAAGGCTTTACGCAGGGGTCAACAGCCCCGGGGAACTATCCAGAGACTCCCGGGCGGCCGTAAAGTCACGTAATGCTTGTTTACAGCACTCAAGCAGGAGTGGGAGAATCACCATTAAGCCCAAGCAGATTTTATTTCTGAGGGCAGGAAACATCCATTCTTTCCACAGATTCTCACCTAGAGCGCCGTTAAGATTTTGGAAGATCCGGCACCTATGATCCAAAGTTATATTGATGGTCCCCTGCAGAGGAGGAAAAAAAATGGGAAGAATGATAAGGATTGGAAAAGGTAAGTGTAAGAGGACACCCACGTTGCTCTACAGTAGCTAAAAATCAGGAGTCTCATAGCACCTTTTCAGACTAACACGTTTTATGAAAAGGTGGAAGCTTTCATGAGCTGCTCACCCGCTGTTCAGGATCCAGAAACACTTTGGTGTAAAAGAGCTGGTCACTGTCACTGTCGAGGCCTTGCCAACGTGCCACCAATTTGCTGAGATATGGAGCGTAACCTATGAATCCTGCAGGAAGAGAGAATAAATGTTCCTCTTTCTTCGTCTCAGATGGGCAGCTTAGCCCCCTGAATGGCGCTGGCATCAAGGAAAAAGATAAAGTAATTCTCTTTTATGGACTATCTGTGCCAGAGATGCAAAGTCTGTAAGTTTCGCAGCTGCAGAGACTCCTCCTCCAAGAAGCACATCGTTCATATATGACAAAATGCCACTTTCCTTGCGGGTTAAAAACACGTGCTTTGAAAACCCTACCTCGCTCCCATCTCGATAAAGACACCTGGGATTATTCTGTCGCTGTTCCACTCCATGACACCCTCTTTGTAACAAGAAGTTTTCTACTTCTAGACCAGTTAGCTCAAAACAACGTTTTCCTACAATTGTTTTATATACCGGCAAGGCCATCACTGGTCAATGAAATATCAAATAGGGATTATTTTATTTTAGGGAGAAGCAGAAGTCCAAAGCTTATCTTCCACTGTAAAAAAAATGTTTCTGGTTTCTAGACCAGATTTTTAGGTAATCCTCAACATTCATTTGTACTTGCTGTCCACGGCTTCCAAACAGAGATCAACAGCTCAAATTTCATCCCGGCTCTCCTTTCCTCACCACTCACTCAGTGTTTCTTCTGGTGGCTTCTGTTCCCACCTTCTCTTACCTCCAGATCCCAGAAACCTCTTCCCCTCTTGGACCGGTGGGTACTTGGCTTCCAATCTTCGGTCCGGGTAGATGAGTGTCTCTGATGAAAAGACAACTTTTGATTTGGCCTGCCTGAATTTCTTCAGGACTTCTCCAGGCCCTGAAGCAAAGATGACGTCGTAGCTGCAAGAGGAGAAGAGGGACATTTGAAGGAAAGTTTACACCGCAAAGAGAAAAACAGGGAACAATCAAGAAATTGCCTGCTCAGAGTTGGGGGAGCACACGTACCTACCAATCTTAAGATCTTTATCCTTTTGTATTCCAAGCATTTTTCCCCCCAAGGTGGAGATTCTGAAGTTGAGGTGCCCTACCATCATTTAAACGAACTTGTTTTAAATAAACCATTGTTACAATTATCCACAGTTTGCAGTGCAGATAATGCAACAAACCGTAGTTAAGCAGGAACAAAAATGTTCAGCTCCTCCTGGCTACAGGAGGCAAGAAGAAGGGAGTCTCCTAGACTTAGCCACATCTCAACTCTGCTGTTAGCATATAGCAATGTCTGATTCAGGCCTTGGTATCCTGGCAATTCTGCTCGCCAGCAATTACCTCTCTGTGAAAAGGATCACCAAGTCTTCCTTGTCTGCGTAGGCTTCCAAAGCCGATTTCAAGAGACGGATCTTCTGTCCGCCTCCTGCTCTCTTGTCATCTCGGTCATTCCACTCTTCACCTAATCCCAGAACCTGGGCAGACAAAAGGCAATTTTGTGACAGTCATGTCCAGGTTTCAATCTACTTGGTCGGTGGTTGTCCCCTCTGAACTGAACTGAAGGAAACAACTAACATCTTATTTAGAGAACAAATTTCACTGCACTGGGAGTTTTCTATAGACATTTACAGTATCAACTAGAAAAAGATTCCCAAGGCTTCTCATATTATATTACTGTTGCTTAATAACTTTGTTCTTTATGGTACAATTAGGAAAAACAAATAATTAGCAACTAACAGGTGTATAAACAACTAACATGACTACGGACTCATTAACATTAACTGAAATTAAAAATCACAGGTGATATCCTGCCTGTTTTTGCCAGATACTTTTCCAAGGGTGCATTTTGAAATTTGAGGAAATGCAAGGAGTTTTGAATTAGGAATTGGGTTTTGCCTTGATACAACTTGGCATCTCTATTCAGATTAGTTATTGGCACTACCTTTAGGTTATAGTTGAAAACTTGGGCTGATCTTTGGAAACGCTTGAAGCCTTCAGTCTCCTTCATAGCCACAGTAAGGACCAATAAATTATCTGGGTGGATGAGAAAAAGCAAAGAATCAGATACACATCTCCCAAATTATCGCTGCAACATCTTCTCGCATCCCTCAATCACAGCAACTTTTGGTTTTTTTTTGCGTTCTCAAGAGACATAGCTTTGTTGTAAAACACAGGCTTTGAATGGAAAAATTTCCAGGTTCATTTGGTAGGCTCCCCCATTTCTTGAAAATCCCACTGTTTGTGAACTGGGAAGCCAAGCCCTCTAAGAAAAATCGTTTGGAATATTTGGTGGAAGTCGGTCCCTGGACTCTAAGGTGGTTTATGGCAATGGCTGCCAAGTGTGGGATGGAGATACAAGAAAGTGAAGCAGGAATCTCAAAATATCAAAGAACCGGTTGATGGAAAGAACACTCTATGCAAAGGCCTTTTTTAAAGTCTCTGGAGGAAAATTCTGGCTGAGAGAGAGGCAATCCCAAAAAAGTTTGCCCCTTTTTTTTAACGTACAAGTTGCACAGCCTTCCAAACAATGCTTTTCCCCTCTCTCTCAATACTGAAGTTTTTCCAAGACGTATGTGCGGGACGTGATTTTAGATGAGTCAGAAATGGGTGCTCAAGCTTTGGCTGAATCTTTCCTCCGGCACTCTCACACACCACAAAATCCACCTGGAGTCGACCAGCGAGAATAAACAAAGCAACCGAAATGCAACTTATAACCACTGTCAGCTTTCTGCCAACACGGCGAGGCTGCAGCACAGCAGGGAAAACGGCATGCCCAGATTTTTTTTTGGAAATGTGGAAGGCAGCCTCCATTCATGAGAGCTATCTCACATGCCTTCATGCCTGTGGGGAACACCACTGGGGAAACATCCTGCGAACACCACATCAAAAGCCCGCTAGAAGGGCAATTTCTGGCCCCGTTTGAGGGGGGAGTTTATATCTTGATTTACAAGAAGCTTACGCTCTGCCTGCAGAAGACCCCGCATCAAAGATTAAGGCTATTTGATTTGCGCTCCACTGCAATTCAGCCACACAGATTTGAGCCCACATTGAAAGAGAAACATCGGAGAAGCAATCGGCACCTCACGAAAGCTTATCCTTTTGAATAAAAACTGTTTGTTAGAAAAGGTGCTCCCAGGCTCCTCCTGATTTTTTGGTACCAGAGACCAAGAAGGCTCTCCTCCTCCAAACTGAGCAAGAACGCGCCACTTCGGATAGTGAAGAAAATTGTTTACTTTTTCTTTTCGCAGAGGGATAAGAAAGTACAAGATGGTGCCGTGTCAAGCGATCAGATCAAACCCAATATTATTTATTATGGTCGTAAACCAGCATTAAGCGTCAAGTGAAATTCCACAAGCGAGGCACGGTGTCTCTCATCTTCTCTCCCTCCCCGGGGAAAAGAGGTCCCATGGAGGATTTCAGAGAAAGCAAACTTCCAAGCCAGTCTTCCCAGACTTTTCAGCAATGCCCCCACACACACACACACCCTGGCACAGCCAGCGATGGGGACGAGTGCCTGGAGGGCACTGCTTAGACAAGGCAAGAGAACTGGATGTCCCCCCCCCCCGCGCACACACACACACACACACACTCCTTAGCTTACCATCCTGGGCTTCATTGCTCCCACCCTCCAGGGGTGTTAGGAAAAGCAGGAGGAGGAGCAGAGACGGAGGGGACATGGCGGGGAGACTCCAACGAGGGGATCCCGCTTACTCAGTCCAGCTGTTGGGGGGAAGGCTGCAGACTGAGCTGGAAAGCAAGCCCCTCCTCGCCATCCGGGGGCTGATGTGCCACGCAATAAACACGCCTCCTGAACGGGG